TTTGCTGCTGACAACCAAAACCAGCTGATCACATGCTCAAGAAGGACCATCAGCCTAACAATGGATCATTAGCACACTGATGGCTGTTTACTATTCACAGAGGGCTGAGTGATACTAGCAATCAAAGCATTGTAAGAGGGGGACAGTTGAACCCGGAGGCCTCCACCCCTGTTTAATGATGGACGGTTTCTTTTCACAAAGATGGCCTCCTTTACTCCTCTCTCAAACCATCGTTCCTCTCTGTCCAGGATGTGAACATCTTCATCCTTGAAAGAGTGACCGCTGGCCTGGAGATGAGTGTAGACCGCAGAGTCCTGGCCTGATGATGTTGATCTTCTGTGCTGGGCCATCCGGAAGATCAACATCATCAGGCCAGGACTCTGCGGTCTACACTCATCTCCGGGTTCAACTGTCCCCCTCTTACAATGCTGTGATTGCTAGTATCACTCAGCCCTCTGTGAACAGTAAACAGCCATCAGTGTGCTAATGATCCATTGTTAGGCTGATGGTCCTTCTTGAGCATGTGATCAGCTGGTTTTGGTTGTCAGCAGCAAACTGGTTGATCCACTCTGAGAAGGTGCTATTTAAGAGACTGAGCTGAATACAGCTCCTCAGACTGAGGAAGTCTCTCGGATGAGAGACGAAACGTTTCTACATTTTTTTTGTTGATTTGCTTTGTTTTTTTTTAATGTCCAGAGGACCAGATTTAACTTTTTTAGATTTTTCTACCTGGATTATTGAGCATGCATCAGGATATTAATAAAACCATGTTTAAAAAAAAAACACTTGTTTTTAAACTGAAACTTGTTTTTAAGGTTCTGGTGTTCTGTTTTTGGTCTCAGATGGATCAGAACCAGTAGTATTCCTACTACAACAGGAGGAGTCCTGTTTCTGGGTTCTGATTGGCTGACAATGTCTCACCTGTACAGAGTTCAAGCTGCAGTATCCGTTGAGCGGGAAGCGGATCACGTGGGTCGGGTCCTGGTTCCAGCCGGCGTTCACAGAGTTGCACATGACGTCTCCGGTTTCGGGGAAGACCTCCTCGATTAGAACTTTCTCTCCGCTGAGGGCGATCCTCTCACCCAGATCAGGCGTGACCCGGACCACCAGAACCTCGCAGGGCACCGCTGTCCGCCGGGCCTCCTGCTCCGCCTGCCAGCGCTCCAGCTCCCGCACCATTGGGGTCAGCTGGTAGAACCGGGCCTCCTCGTACAGCTGGGGGAAGTCCTGAGGGAGGGGTCAGAGGTCAAATCAGAGCTGGACTCTGAGATCACTGGATCATTTCAGAACCTGAACCTAAGTAGAACGCTGCCACAGAGGGGACATGAGGCTCTTTTGAACTTCAGGTCACCTTTGATACCGCTCCACTTCCCGTCTCTGTCAGTGCTTTTATTTTGAAATCATGCATAGCCTTCCTGCTCCCTTTGAAAACTGAATGCTGGTTTAGATTTTGGGACTGGAGGCTCCTGGTTCTGTTAACAGAACTGGGCAGGTGACCTGAGGGGTCTGTTTTTAAGCCCCGCCTCCTTTTAGGATCTGCCTCTTCCTTGTTCTACTCAAAATGGACGGACGGATGGTGGAGTGATGATCGCATGACATCAGGTTTACCTGGAAGTCCTCCGGCAGCAGCAGCCTGCAGGTCCTCAGGAAGTTCAGGATGTAACTGAAGACGTCTCCGTCTCGGTCGATGAAGTAGTGTTGCTTCAGGCTGTCCAACACGATCGGCTCGGAACCGTTAAACAGACGGCTGATCCTGCAGGCGCACACAGGTGAGTCAGAACAAAACCATCAACATGAACAAAACCATGTTAAACATTAAAACTGAAGAAAACATCAGAAACCAGCAGCAGAACGCACCTGTCCCCTGACACTCACCTGGACTCGGGGAACCTGGTGAGCGTGGCCAAGCTGCTGGTGTACATGTGGCCCCCCACGTCGATGTGGACTGGGGCGTTAGACTTGGTGAGCTGGGCCGGGGACGGGATGCCCTGGGCACCCACAGGTGACACGGGTGAGTGGTTCACAGACATCCTGGACAAGCTCCGCCCCTCCTGTCACAGGTAAACACAGGTGGGAGGAAGTTAAAGTTCATCACGCAGCAGTAACTCATGCGGTCTGATGGCCCAGAGGGTGTGTGTGTGTGGGGGGGGGGGGGGGTCCCTCTGTATGGATTAACCCCGCCTCTCAGAAGGAGCGTTCAGTTTGGCCCCGCCCCCCGCCGCTCACCCCCGGGCGGAGGGTGGGGGAGGTGTCGTAGGTGTTGTTGAACACGGAACCTTTAAAGAGAGGTCGTTCGGAACAGAACATAATTTTAGATGAACATTGAGAGAAGAAAGCAAAACCTGCGTGTATCGCCGGTCTGCGCCCCATTCCAGACTCCGTTAAAAAAACCGCAGATTTAAGCTGCTCCAGTCTTCGCGACTCAGGACAGCAGTTTGTCTGATTTGAAACTGATTAAATAATTAATTTTGATTAATTCCGTGATAAAAAAAAAAAAAATTTCATACATATTTACTTAATTGCGAAACTTTAACCTAACGGAGCTGCGTTATAAATGCAAACGTGCGAGACTGGCGAGTCGGGAGAAAAACTTTGGGTTTATTTTAAATAATTTAAATTAAATACATTTATTTTCATGCCGAAGTAAAGGCTGATTCGTTCACTAACAGATTATCTTGGAATTTTAACACATCGTTGCCTCAAGCGCTCAGGTTAATAAAAACGGTCAATATTTGCATGGAGTCTGGTTGGGAGCTGAATACCGACGTCTGCAACCTGGTTTCAGGTTGGAAACTTGCAGCACGTGCTCCACTCTCACCTGGAAGGACATGAGGAGTCTGCGGCTCCGGATCCTGGCTGCTCTTCAGCGGTTCGGTCGGTCCTGTGGGTGAGGCTGAAGCAGCCAAACCGCGTCTGTCAGACTGAAAGGAGGGCTGGAAGAGGAGCGTGGCCCGGGGCCCCTTCAGACCCCCGGGGGGTCCAGGATCAGGTTCTGACCCGCCCCAGCTGATGGGAGTAGCGGGATCCTCAGCGCGACCTGGTGTGGGATCATCTCATTCTGGACCGGATTGGGATTGAGGGTCCCGGCCTCCTGCAGACGAAGCTCCATCATCCATAGCACCCCCTCCCCCCATCACCCGCGGCCACGCGCGCCATTTCCCTCCTCACGCATAGAGATGGAGATGTGGGTCTGAGATCCGGGACTCCTGAAGCAGCTGAGTGAAGCTGACACCCCACCCTAAAAATTAATCTTTAATATCTTAGGAACCAAAGCAGCACAAACAAACGGAGCACTAACCGCTCATTCTTTTTGCTGGAATCCTTCACGTGGGTGGGGTGTCAACTTCCAGAACAGCAGAGCGCGCGGCTGTACGGACACGCGCAAGCTGGAAAGCGTCGACGACCTTTGACTTCTTTTACCGAGTAATTAAGTACTTTTACTCTGATTACATCTGACTACAGAAAGTTCTTCATCACCAGGGTGATGATTTATTTCTACATTTCTCTTGGACCTTGTTATCTGCGGGTCAGAGATCAGTAAATGTGAGGCAGACCACCTGTCCAGGTAACCTGACGTCACCCTGAAGGTTCTCCACGGCAGCAGCAGCAGAACCACAAGTTAAAGGAACTTTAATGAGCTTAAAGATTTAAAAATCTGCAGCTCAGTTTGTTACTGTGATGAAGAGGCTCATCATCGTAACCATAGCAACCACAATGATGACCTGCAGTTATATTAAAATATTTGGTTATTTTATTATATTATTAAATATTTAGTTGGTTCTAGTTCTGATTCACACGCGTTCAAAACTGATCCATGTGGACCTGGATCCATTTGGTCCCGTTCTGTCAGACTGGACCCACAGCAGCTCAGGGTGCTGCAGGAATTCTGAGACCGAATGCTAGCCAGAAGCTAAAGGTAACAAAAGCTAAAAGTAGCTGAAGGCTAGCTAAAAGTAGCAGATGCTAGTTAACGGCTAAAAGCAGCACAAGTTTAGTTAAAAGCTAAACGTAGCATAAGAAGACAAAACAGAGCAAGTAGCTGTAGCAGCTTTTTAAAAGATCAGTTTTACATGAGCTGAAGAGACCTCGGCGTATTTCTATGTGGGACATTTTTGGTTAAATACTTCTCAATGTTACAAAAGCTAAAAGGCACAGCAGCTGAATGAGCCGAACAAGCACAAAGTCTGCAGAAGTTGGATTATAAATGAAATAAACAGAAAAATAAAAAACTGTAAAACAAATGACTCGGCGTTCAGACTCCAAGGCCAGGATCAGGAATTCTGAGCAGAACATCAGGTTTTTGTTTCTTGTAGTGAAACCAACGTGTTGATCAGACGTGAGGTTCTGGCAGTGGAGCGGTTCTGAAAAGAAACAATCATACCAGCAGCCGTTTATTAAAAATAAAACCTTGTGTGTTTATTCTCATCAAACACTCGGAATATAAAGGAGGCAGTGGCTTTAAAGAAGAACCTCACACAAAACAAACCCTCAGAACTCAAAAGAGTAAAAAGAACACCAACAAACCGGTCCGGTCCGGTCCCAGGTGTTTTACCTGAGAAACAGCTCAGAGAAATCAGCTCAACAGAACTTCATAGAAGTTGCTGCAGCTTCAGAGTAACAGAGTTGGCTTTGTCTCCAGTAGAACATGTGACCCATGACCAGCTGGTGGTTCTGGCAGGTCCAGCTCAGATTTATGACGGTACCATCAGGGTCCCCACCAGAAGACCTAGTAATAAATTAATCCACTTCCTGATCAGCTGATTTCAATCAATTAATAAACCAAAAACTATTTCAAGTTCTAGTTCTGGATCCATTTCATTCAGCAGATTTGCAGCGGAGGGCGGAGCTTGGTAAAGGGGCGTGGCTTAGTGCAAGTCTGTGAAGGGTTTGGGGTAGTTGAACATCAGGTAGTCCATGTGGTAAAAGTCAAAGACTTTCTGCCTCTCTGTGGCGTTCAGCTGAGAGAAATAGTTCTGCGTGATTCTGGACGAGGTCCGCTCGGCCTGCGGGTTCCGATCTTTGAAGTCGGGGAAGGTGAGGTTGGCCGGCGCCCCGATGCTGCGCAACAGGTGGTTGGCGTCCTCCTGCAGACTCTCGAACTTCCCGATGAAGTGGTACCGGAGCAGACAGGGGCTGCAGAGCTGGCTGACGGGCTCCCAGTGGATGTCCATCCCAACGGGCCGCTGCAGGTCCAGCAGGTACTGAACGAACTCCCTGAAGGTGACGCCGGCGCCGGTTCTCAGGGCGGTGCGTGTGGCATTGGCCCGGTACCTGGAGATGATGGCGCGTCCAAAAACAGGATGGTAGTACAAGTTTGGACTCTCAAACTTGTCCCGGAACGCGGAGACGAGCCGCTCGAAGGGCTCCCTGACGAACAGAACCTTGGTGTAGGACCGGAGTCGGTCCACAACATCGGAGAAAGTGTAGCTCTCCAGCCTCCGCAGGTGGTTGGAGTAGTGCACCACGTCATGTGGGATGTCCTGCGTGGAGCGAGCGCTGCCGCCCAGAACCATCAGGACCCGTTTCCAGTTGGAGCAGCCCGCTTTGGGCACCTCGCAGTACAGCAGCCGGAACCTGTCCTCCACGTAAACCCGGGACACCTGCTGACGGGTCACGTGCCTTTTGCCAATGATGGGACGGTACCTGGAACAGAACTGTTTCAGCAGGTGGAGCCGGGACTCCTGGGTCGAGTCCAGCTGCTGCAGAACCTCCTCTCCTCCAGGGAGGGCGGTCTTCAGCAGCAGCTTCCTGTGACGTTTGGTGACACGCTGCTTCCTGTCGGGTACCGGGTCGGATAACGGCGAGACAGACCGAGACAGTGGGCGGAGACCAGGAGGAGAGACGAGGACCCGACCAATACCAACAGCATCAGACGGCTGAGTCGAATCCTAAAGCAAACAAACAAACAAATGATCTCACAGTAAACAGAACAGCACTGCTGAGTTTGAGGGTTCTGAACGGGCTTTTCAAGAGCTCTGATCCATATTTTCACTGGTTCTGTAACTACTTCTGTCTTCTGGGAGAGTCCAGGGTTTGCCTGTTTTCTCTCTTTACTGTCTTGTTTACTTCCTGTTGATTGCCTTCTTTAATAAAGATTTTTGTTGTTTGAAATTAATGTAAGCAAAACATCCATCCATCCATTCTTCCATCCATCCATCCATCCATCCAAACATCCATCCATCCAAACATCCATCCATCCGCTTCTTCCTTTTTGGGTCGCAGGGGTCACTGGTGCCCATGTCCAGCAGTCACTGTAGGAGAGGCGGGGGACACCATGGACAGGTCTCCAGTCCATCACAGGGACACAGAGACAAATGAGACAAACAACCATTCACTCTCTCACTCACACCTAGAGACAATTTAGAGTTACCAATCAGTCCAACATGCATGTTTTTGGTCTGTGGGAGGAAACTGGAGTACCTGAAGAAAACCCATGCATGAATGGAGAGAACATGCAAACTCCACCCAGAAAGGTCCTCGGCTGGGATTTGAACCGAAGCGACCTGCTCGCTGAGAGGCAGCAGCTCTACTAACTGAGCCACCGTGTCTCACAAAATCAAAAAACATTATGTAGTAATTTTGTTTATTTTTGCTTCTGGGGTTTGTGTTAAAAGTTAAAATCAATTCTTTCACCTCTGACTTCATCAGAAACAAGGTTCTATGTAATTTTTACTGATTATAATTGAATGAATTCTGAATAGATTTGATTTATTTATTTAGCATCTTTTCCTCGCCTCTGTCACACTTCTGTCGGACCGCTGAGTTCTGCAGCTTTCATGTAAAACCCAGAAGCTGCGTCCTGTTTTACTGATCCAGCAGAAGTCAGACTGGGGGCATTGTGGTACCAGACTCACCTTCTCCACTGGCCACCTGGGAGCCACCAGAACCGGGACACCTGAAACAGAAGAACAGACAGAACGGGTCTCAGATCAGTGGGTCAGAACACAGAGACAAACAGAACCCATCACTAAATCAGCTCATGGAGACTGATGAAGAGAAGAGACAAACTAACATGAAATATTATAATATATAAACGTTGATCCTCAGATGGGTCTGATCCAAACACCAGGAGTCACTTCACTCTTTGGAGCAGGTGACCCTCAGTCTCAACAGGAAGTTGCTGCGCATGTCAATGTGGTGTATCACCATGGCAACAGGTACTAGAAGCTTGACAAAGAGTATCACCATGGTAACAAGTACCGGAAACCTGACAAAGAGCATCACCGTGGCAACAGTTACCAGAAACCTGACAAAGCATTGCCATGGTAACAGATACTGGAAACCTGTCAAAGAGCATCACCATGGCAACAGATATAGGAAACCAGACAAAGTGCATCATCGTGGCAACAGTTACCAGAAACCTGACAAAGAGCATAACCATGGCAACAGATACTGGAACCATGACAATGGGCATCGTCATGGCAATAGATGCCATAAACCTGATAGAGAGCATCACCATGGTAACAGATACCAGGAACCTAAAACTGACTATCTTTATCCACCTTGAGACTTCAAATCCTGCCACAGCTGATGGAGTCATGCTGTGTGTATTTTACTTCCTGTCATATTGAGGACATTTTTTAGGAGCATTTGGTCGTTTCTGTTGGAGACCTTGGCCTTAACAGCATGTTGAGCCTAATGAAGAGTGATGAAATCAGATTACTGTAATCAGACTACTATGACTGATCACTGGGCTCCAACAGAATTTAATATTTTAGTTCATGAATTGAATGCAAACTATTTTTTTTCCCCTGAACATGAACAGGAAGTAGTTGAACTTCCTTCAGACTGAACTCTGTTTGGACTCTCGGCCCACATCGGTCCAGATCAGGCGTCGCCGTTTCCGTTCAGCTGCAATGCCAATCCGAAACAAGATTTTGAAAGTCTTGTTTCTATCAGCTGGTTTAGATTTATTATTATTAATAATAATAAAAATAATAATACAGTAATAAAACCCCACTGATGGTCAGCAGGTGGCGCTGCAGGCTAATGACCACATTTAAAGTGTTCAGAAAATAAAAATAATCAGAGATTCTTTATTTGTCATCAATGATATTGTGTATACAGGGTCCCATAATAAATTGTGATTTGTTGTCTGCGGGACAAGTCAGTCAGAGTCAGAGATTCTTTATCGTCATTCTCACGTCGTGGTGGAGCGAAATTATGTACACAGGGTCCCAGTTACATCCAACAATAAAATGTAAAAACAAAACAATGATAACATCCAAGATATTAACTAAGAAAACATCAACTAAATATACACTAAGCACTAATAACATAAAAAAACATCACGTCAAACATGAGCACAAACCTGAACATGAGTCTGTACATGAGACGGAATGGACGGAATAGATGGAAATCGTGATTTGTTAGTTTAAAGTGTTAATTTTCAAGTATGTTAATTAATTTCACTGAATAAATTATGTTCTTGACAACAGTTTGGACGAAGAACTAAAACAGAACAAATATATTCTGGTCTGCAGAAATGTTCTGCACATTCTGAAAAGAACTCTTCTGGATAAATCTGTTCTGTTTTTAATAATTTGATAAGATAACTTGATTGATTGCAGAGTTTTCTTTCTAAGCTGCAGGACCTTGTCGTGTTCTGATGTCGACACTTCCTGCAGCTGATCTCAGGTGTGTTTACCACCTGGCCGCTCGCTGCCTCTCGTGAGACTAATTACCCAGCATGCCGTGGTTCCGCCGAGCACAGTGCCACAGCTGAGGTAAAAGGTAGAAAACTAACGAGCTTCTCTGGTCACACCTGCAGCAGAAGTAAACACCAGCACCAACAGGGCCAGTTAGTTCTAACACATTAAAGGTTCTGATCCAGTTCCCAGCTGAACCACCAGGACCAGAGGTTTCCATCAGACACCCAGTCTGCAGGAAGGAGATCAGTCCATCACTGTCCCGTCTGCACACCAAACCAGAACTGATCCCAGAACCAGCGGGAAGATCAGGAACCAATCAGGCGACAGAACCATCAGAACCTTCAGAACCAGAGACAGATGGACAAGGTTCTGTGGGAAATATCCTTCAACTCTTTAGTTGACCATGACAGCAACTTTTGAATGTGTTTGAGAGTTTAACGAGAAGCTGTTTTTATTCTCACACAACCCGACTGAATAAAAACCTGCTGGAACAACATTTACCAAAACCCAAACTAAATGTTTCCATTTTTATTTAAACTCGTTTCTAATTCAACTCTAAACAAGTTTAAATCAGCAGAACCTGTAACGTCAACTGTTCAGATCTGCGGTTTCCTCCATTGAAACACTTTTTATCAAATTGTCCTAATTAGGATCTTTAACGTGTTTTTTTATTCTGATATTTATTTTCTTTTATTTTTAAGTGAATTCAAACGTGGATCTGAACGCTCGATTGAACCTAAAGTTATGACCCGATTAGTCAAACATCCTGTAGAGGCGAAGAAGAAACACCGGAGTCATCGTCGCTCTCAGCAGCTCTTCATCACAGCAGCAGGAACGTGTTCACACTCGCCTGGTTCCACGCAGCGCCTCACAGTTCTCATTTTATATTAAACGTGCTGTTCAGCTGGAGCTGATCCCACTCGGGAACAAACATTAGTTTACATGTTTTTATTTAAAAAACAGGTTTTCACAAAATAAAACAGATTAAAAACAACGTCCATCACCAACTTCGGACCCTCCTCAGAACCAGACCCGGTCCAGACATCTGATGCTGCTGGGTTTCATCAGCTGATTAGGAAAGGTCTGGAAATACTTCCTCTGATCTAGTCCTCAAGTCCAGTCCTCAGGTTCCTGTTTGATGCTCCAATCCTTGAAAACCCGTTCCTATCCTCAGCTTCTGATCCAATCCCCATATCCTGGTTTGGTCATTCGTTCTCAGTCCAGTCCTGGATGTCCAGTCTTTTGGTGCCCAGTCCAGTCCTTCATTTCCACATCCTGAACTGGGTGTGGAAATGAAGGACTGGACTGGGCGTGTGTCCTTGGCGTCCGGTTCTAGGTGTCCAATCCAGTCCTGGGTATCCAGTCTTTTGGTCCCCAGTCCAGTCCTTCATTACCAGTCTAAGTTCTTGGTGTCCAGTCTAGTCCTTGGCGTCTAATCCTGTCCTTGGTGTCCCAGTCAAGTCCTTGGTCGCAGTCCAGTTCTTGGCGTCCAGTCCTCAGATTAGTTAAATAAAACTTGTTTCTGTGACAGTTTAGTGTTTATTAAATATTTGACTGAAGATAAAATCCTCTTCCGTGAGACTCTGAGCTGTTGGAGCTTTGGGACAGATGAATGGATGATAAATGGATGCTGAATGATGAATAAATGATGAAAGGATGAATAATGAACAGAACACATGATGTTTAGTCCAGCAGATCACAGGAAACAAACGTTTTAGATGAATATGCTGCTGAAAGAAGACTTTGTTTTGGTTCAGAAACAGTGAAGGAGGAGCGTGCACGTTGGTCTGTGCACATTGGACAGTGTGTGTGTGTTGGCTGACAGATGTCTGGGGCCGAAGGCAGCGGTTCTGTTCTGATCCGTCTCTCCTCACGAACACAAACTCATCTCGTTCATCTGCTGCTCATACAGTCATCATTAACGAAGCTGCTGCAGCAGATGGTGCTGCCCCTGCAGCTCCGGGTCTTTAACAGACTTCAGGCCCAGTCCGAATGAAACCAGAACACTTCATGTTTACCAGAGCTCCATCGTTGACAAGACTCACCACAAGAAACGTCAGTTTCTCCTGGTTTTGCATCTGAAATCGTCAAGTAACCTCAGAAAAGGTTTGTGCTTTCTGTTTGGTCCTGAAGCCGAAGTTCAGAGGAGGAGCAGAACTGGACCTGGACTCAGGCCTCCTCGGGTGGTTCACAGTCTGCAGACATCAGGTGATGAGGCTCCAATCAGACATCAGCACAGGAAGTGATCCCCTGCTGCTGATGGAGACAAAACAACTTCCTGCTTACCAATGAGGCGCTGCTGAAAGAGGTCAGAGGTCACATCTGTCACCTGAACAGAACCAGAACCAAAAGTACAACAGGACTCATCAACGGTCCAATAAAACCCTACTGTCAAATTACAGAGCACAAACAGGAACCACAAGACTTCTGGACCAGAACCAGACCAGGGGACATATGTTTACCCAGAATGCACTGCAGCAAACAGCTCCTCCCAGCCAGGTGGCAGCACGGTGGTGGAGGGCTGATGGTCTGGGCTCCTGCCAGTCACCGAGTGGACCAGGAACTCCTCTGGAGACCAAACATGAGGCCATCTGTCCAACAGCTGAAGCTTGGACCAAAATGGGTCCAACAGAACCATGATCCCAAACACAGCAGCTGATCTACAACAGGACGAGTCAGAAAGAACAGAACCAAGGTCCAGTCAGAGTCCAGAACCTGAGGTTGGCTGAGATGCTGTGCTGGACCTTCAGAGATGAGTGTTCTGGACATCACTGATGTTTGTTCAGGAAGTTCTCTTGACCTCCAGGTTCCTCACCGTTACATTCGACCACTAGATCTTCACAGAGGAACCAGATGTTCTCAGCGTCCAGCTGATGCTTTCATGTTCTCAGGTGTGTGTGTGTTCAGGTGTGTCTCTGAGTGTGTGAGACCGGTTCTGTGGTGTTGAACAGATTTAATCAAATCACAGCAGCATGAGCTGCAGCGTGCCGCGACACGTGCGTTAACGTCTGAAGCAGTCCTTTTATTAAACGACTGTGCTGAACCGGACCTGTTCAGAACCAGAAGAAACCTCAGAGCTGAAGGATCTCAGAAGAACATTGTTGTTGTTGTTTTGTTTGTCTGCAGCATTGATGCAATTAAAAAACAACAATTGGCTCTTTGTTGTTGGACCGAGCTGAAATGAACGCGGCCCGGATCGATCAGCTGACCCGATCTCTGCGGAATCAGAAACGTGTGATCGATGGAGGAGACGCCGCTGAGGGGAGCGCCGTGATGTCATCAACTTGACACCCCACCGGTCCAGACCTGGATCAATGTGGACTCATCAGACCTCGTGTTTCCATTGATCCAGACTCTAAGCTGCCCAACAAATTAAAACCTGTTACTGATTATTGATCGTCCTCAAACTGATCAGGTTCTTAAAGCCAGGCAGATCTTTGATCTTTTTTTATTTGTCAAGCTGTAACAGTCCTGAAAGGAGCAGTTCTGAGCAGTCAGTATCTGACCTGCAGCAGACAGAGTGATCTCAGTTTGGAGAACCAGAGAGAACGTTCCCATATAAGATCCGGTCCAACAGCTTCCAAAAATCTCATTCAGCATCGATTATTCCTCACGTGCAGTCCATGGTTCTGTTTGGAAATGGACGGGCTGATGCAACAGAACTGTTTGTTCTCATCAGCACACAGTTCCAAAACATGGAAGTGACCGGGCCTTTAAGGCTGCAGACTTTAGAACGTTCTCTGCTCCATCAGAACCAACAACAACTTACAACTAATTCCTTTCATCAATGTTCTGTCCCAGTTCTGAGCCCAAATCTTTGGTTTAACCCAGTTTGTGTTTACACAGATTTGTATTTACGGACAGACCCGTTTGTCATTTGGTTCTGATTATGAAGAACTTTATTCTGAATTGTGTCTTTTTAATTTAAAAAATTGGATTTGCAAGCAGACTTATGTTGGATCAGAACCAGTATCCTCCTGTAAAGACCACCGACATCAGAGAGAAGATGAAGGACAGAAAGAGGAAGTGGACCCAGAGCAGCTGACCCGGCAGTACAGACCTGGGTTCTGGTGCAGCACAGTGTCAGTCAGGTCCGGCAGGTGGACCAGCAGCAGCAGCGACCCGACTCCCAGCAGCAGGAGGACCCACAGCGAGCAGAGCAGCCTCATCCTCCTGCAGACACTCACAGAGTTCTGAAGTCTAAAGTCCATGCTGCTGGTTCCGGATCAACCGGGAGCACAGAACCTGAGGACAGGCGAGAGGTCACATCAGTCAAACATAGATCCATCAGAACCAGAGAACTACAATCCAAAAGAGAACCTCATCTCTTTCTGTTTAGTCACTTGTGTATGGTAGGCCATTGTACCATACAATCAAATCACAAACCTTTTCACAGAATCAGTTTAAGAGCAATTGAAATCACAATATTACTATTAGAATTTAAAAATTAAGTTATTTATGATTTCAAATGTACCAGTAAACAACAAAACTCCTTAAAGAAGTTTAATAATAATTGATATTTAACAGGTAAACTGGATGAATATTGCAGAGAACTATAAATCTATTCTTAATTCTCACAAATCCGTTGCTCAAAACGCGTCTCGCTGTCGAAACACTCCCATCTTTCTTCTCTTCAATGAGAATTATTAAATCTGTTATTTTACTGATATTCATTCTGTATTTGTGTTTTAAATACGGTTGTTCTGTCATCGGGCCCCTGAGTCCTCTCTGCTGGGAACCCGAGCCTGAGGTCAGATCTGCGTTCTGCCAGGAGCTCCATCAGCTGGACCCAAGCCCGGAAAGGAGGTATTTATAGAACCGAGTGGTTCTGTTCTGCAAGCTGAGAGCCGCTTCCATCCCACAGAAACAGGAAGAGTGGAGGAGCTGCGATGATGTGACATGAACAACGCTTCATCTTTTTATTAACAGGTATCACTTCACAGAACCGGGTCTGAACCGAGAGAACGGTCTGAAGGAGTTTGATGCTCAGAACCTTCTATAGATTTGATTAAAAACAAGGAAACATGCTGCAGAACCACAACTGATGAGTTCCAGTGCTAAACGATGAAGAAAAGCACCGTTAGTTTAATATTTCTGGGCCCGAAAGCTGAAAATGAAAGAAGTGAGCTCCACGGGTTCTGCAGAGATTGGATCAGGACCATCAGAACTGAGCAGAACCAGGAAGAAGATCCAGAACATTTTCTGCTGCAGCTTCCTGCTCAGCTCCAACAAACCCGAATGGATCCTTCCTTAGAGTCGGAACCAAAGAACCGGACCGGATCCCCTGCAGCTCAGGGAAGAAGAACTGAAGTGTCTCCAGACAGGAAGTGCTCTCCTTCTGACAGGAAGTGCTCTCCTCCTGACAGGAAGTGCTCTCCTCCTGACAGGAAGTGCTCTCCTCCTGACAGGAAGTGCGTCGGCCTCTTTATGGATTATTGATGTTGCGCCTCGGCAGAAGCAGAACACGGACCAGGGTCGGGTTTCCTCTCTGATCAGATTAGAAACTGGATCCTCTTGGTGAAGCAGCTCCGGTCTGAAACTATTAAACCCACCAACTCCAGATGCGTGAAGAGGTTCTGGTTCTTGTTCACCTGCAGACATGTTTAAATTCCTTGGTACCATCAGAACTGCAGATATGATGTTTTAGAGTTTCTGGGCTCAAAAACTAAACACGAATCAATCAATCCAACAGAACCGGGCTCTGATCCAAAGGGTTTACAGTCAGTAATGTGCTGCGAGTTAAACGGACCTGTGGTTCTAAAACTCAACATTTCAAAAAACAAAACTTACTGACCCATCAGCTTCTTTCAGAACTTTTCAGGTCTGTGATTCTGTCTCGGACTCCGACCGGTTCAGTTAAACATCAGAACCTTTGCTCTCCTGCTGGTTTCAACTCTGGACTTTGTTCGGGTCAGAGTTCAGCTTGTTTGGGTCCAGTCTGCGGATGCGTAATGATGACATCATCCAGACTGCACTGATGAACGGTACCATAATGGGTTAACCCGGCTAATGGTACAATGTTGCAGAGACCAGCAGAACCAGAACCAGAACCGCTTGATCACAAGTGCTAAACTCAGACAGAGGATTAAAGACCTGAAGATCCTACAGAACCTGCTCAAATCCAAACCCTCTCAGACAGAACCAGGACCAACCTGGACAAGAGACAGTAGAACTCATCATGGATCATACAGGAAGTACATGCTCTTATTGTGAAACTCTGACATAAAAATACCTTTGTTTTCCTGCCTCCGACCCATACAGAGTTCAGGATTGGTGCCTTCAAACAGAACCAGGGTCTCTGATGAGGTTCTGATCGTCTTGTTCACACGGGCTGGAATAAACAACCCTCTGATCCGGTGCATATGAGTAAATCTGGATCGGTTCTGATCAATAGAGGCAGACTGAGCTTTTTTTTTAAAACCTTAAAGAAGTCACAAAGGTTCTTTAAGGATCAGAGGTTCTGTTCGTTTGTGAGCTGCAGAACATCCCAGATCCAATAAAACTCCAGGTTCTGCCAAGTTCTGACCCAATAATTACCAACAGGTTGACAGTGACGGTTTGGACCCTGGTACTGATGCTTGTCACTCACACAGAACACAGACTCTGTGAAGCGTTTAGGACAGAAATAATTCAGAGATAAAAGAGACAACAGCAGTTCCTGATCCAGAACCAGAGGCTCAAAAAACTCTGGATCCAGAACCAGAACCTCCTGATCCAACCCTCATCGTCTCCTTCTTCCCTCCAAGCAGCAAGAAGTTCTGCAGACATTCTGAATGTCTTTCACAGATTTCCTTTTGGACTTTGGCTGCTTCGTCACTCAGTTTCAGTCCGGTTCTGGTACCAGTTGGGGCTTCATGGACAAACTGCAGCGATTTAACAAGAAGTCTGAGGAACCCAAGAGTGAGGAACACAAACCTGATCAGTATCTCAGACAGGAGGTCAGGAGCTTCAACAGCAGATCACCTGATGATGGAACCACCTCCAGTCGGACCAACGTCCCAGTTTATCTCTCAACAGAACCAAAGTTTATGCTCATGAGGTTCTTTAGATCCCGAGGACCTGGTGGTTAATCCAGCAGAACTCTGGAACTCAATAAAACCAGAATCCTGTAAAACCTGCATTGCCATGGCAACCAGGACTTATTCAATCTGATGGTTCTGGTACCAGTCCAGATAGAACCTCACAGAGTGCAGACTTCGTCCTTCAGCTTCATCTTCTCCAACCAAAACTGGACGTTTTCATGAGTCCAGAACCTTTACATGAGGTCCAGATGGCCAGCAGTCAAACAGAACCAGGCACAGATTAACAGAACCCAAAAGGTTCTAGTTCAAGTCGAGAAAAGCGGATAAATGATCACAATAAAAAAGACTATTCCAGATTTAAGGTAATCTGTTGCTGATGTATTTTTAAGCATGGCAAATGATGGCGTCAGGCCCAGTGGACCGGTATCAGAACCATCCAGAACACACCACAGAGGCGGTACCTGTCCAGGTGAACTGGACCGTTAATCACCAACTCACGTTCACTTCAACACAAACTGCGCTTTAAGAAGCTCCTTTCAACTGAAAAACTACCAGAGTTCGTCTAAACAGACCAGAACCAGAACCATCGGGTCGGATCTGTAACTCACCGGTTCGGTTCGGCATGGATGAACACTGTTGTCGAGTTCTACTGAAAGTCGGCTTTCCCAAAAGATAGAAAAAAACATTGTGACGGACCCGAACCGGAACAAACCAACAGCGGGAAGGTTCCGGTCCACTGTCGGTTCGGTGGAACATCAGACTGTTATGATGGTAGCGAAGAGCGGCGGGAAAACGCCCCAAAGTTACCGATGGAAACCGAACAGAGTTCACAGAGGAGGAGAGTCAATTTCCGGAAGAGAAAAAGAGACAGACCGGATGTTTACAAATCTTACCTTCACAATAAAAGACGGACGTTAGGCCTTGCAGCCAAAACTTGATTGACTCCACTAATTAGTGCATTTGTTTTTGCTTTTATTTGTTTTTACCTGGTTATTGTTTAAATTCTACATGAATAAATTAAATAATTAATAAAATACAGTAATTTAAAACACAATTGATTTGATTAATTTGGTTTTATTTCCAATACACTTGTTTACTGTTTCATTATGATCAGAATTTATTTCATTCAAACTAAAGTTCATTTAACAGAAAACACATAAAGTTATATTACATATAACAAATAATTGTTGGGGGTGTATAAATGTCATCTGCAAATTTGTAGATTGAAAATCTTTTTTTTTTTTTTTGATTCAGTACAAAACAAGGCCAAGCAAATACGAATCCAGAGGAAAAAAAATTCTGTGTCACAGACAAATTGGTTACTGCATTAATGAGTAAACAATCAGTGTCAATGTCAATTTATTTATATCACGTAAAAACATCAAAATCTGACTAAAGTGATGTAGTCAAACAACAAGATCTGTAAAGATGGAGCTAGTTTCAGCTTTGTAGGTTAGAAGTAAGATTTTGAATTCAATTCTGGACTTGACAGGGACCCAGTGGAGAGAAGCTAAAACTGGAGAGATATGATCTCTCGTACTAACTCCAGTTACGACTCTGGCTGCTGCATTTTGGATTAACTGAAGACTTTTTACAGAAATATTTGGACACCCAGATAACAAACCGTTACAATAGTCCGGTCTAGACAAGACAAATGCGTGAACCAGTTTTTCTGTATCGTTTTTAGATAAGATGTTTCTAATTTTAGCGATGAGGAACTGATAGACCTAAGTGCAATCAGATAAGTAAATATATTGTTTCTGAAATTCATCCAGAAACATACATGATATTGTGACAATTATATTAACCGTAAGTGTTAAGATGAAAATCACCAAAATAATGTTAATTTTTAAATTAGAAATATCAGTAAATAAAACGTGGAAAAACTGTTCAGACTTTTAATTTAATCGGAAACCGGAAACAGCTGCTTTTATTCTGGTAACTTGAAAGCAAGGTGAGTTTCAGTATGTGTGAGCGCGTGTGAGCGTGTCTACTGGGAGCCCAGTGTCTCTGCCGGGCAACAGAACCTCAGAGAGACGGGGAGGAGCTCCGGCAGCCAGGCAGGTGGAGGTTTGGGATCCGCTGGGAGCCGGAGGACCCCCCCCCCCCACACACACACACACACGCACACCACCACCCTGCCACGGACACCCAGATGTCATATAATCCCGCATTGGCTGCTGCGGCGC